GCATGTGCAGTCAAGAGGCGCGCACACACACAAGCACTTGTTACGTGGCTGGCCAGGTAACAACAATGGCAGCAACAGCAACAACAACAACTTGTGCGACAGACAAAAAGTGTCAACAATTATTTTCAAATTTGAAAACATTTCATTTTGGCCTTTTTTTTTTTTGGGTGACGCTGCTTAAAAGGTTTCCCAGGTGTGAAATTGTTTAACACTGGAGGTTGAGCTCAGTTGATTTATTTTTGGTAACATAAAAACAAAAAATAAATAAGTACGTAGCGCGCAGCGTTGCCAGACAGCGCAACGAACGGATATCCTGACTAGGTGCGCAAGTTTGTTGCCTAAGTCTTTCGTTTTGCACTTGGTTGGGGACTGGTTTTTCATTTTCTTCTCTTAATTTTGCCAAATTGACGCCGCAGGAATTCGCCAAATTGTGTGCCAAAGTCACGCGCTTGTCCGGGCATGATCCGGTGGCACTTGCACAGGCGCCACAACACACACAACAACAACAACGGCAACAGCATCGATACTTTTCAATGAAAACATCAACAATGAGTAAGAGTCGTCGCCGTTGGCGCTGAAAATTTATTGGCATTGACGTCCAATGGCGGCCAATTAACGCAGGATGCTCGAAGCGCCAACGCCACCAGCGTTGTTCGCTTGAAAGATGCCGCCCGGCTGCCCGGCTGCCCGGCCGCCAGACACTCAGCCCGCAGCTGCAGCGCGCTCTCGGCGTGCAATGAAGTCGTTTCGCGCTAGTCGTAAAGTCTGATTTATTTCGAATTGTATGTCAATACACAAGCACACACACACACACACACACACACATACGGAAGCAGCGGCAGAGTTGGTTCCTTTTGGCAGGCAACATGGGGGCCGCAGCTAAAGCTAATGCCCAACCACGGGCGGTCCGTGCGCGCTCAGCCTGACCCAATTTGGCGCCTGCTGCGGCGCTTTCATCAGACTCCTCGTGCATCATAAACAAATTCATAAAAGTCTGCCGTCCGCCAAAATCCGTCGAAGCTGCATGCATACAATTTATGGCGTTGAAAGGCGCATCGAATGGCTTTTATTTTTGTTGGCTTTGCTAATTCTTCTTCGTCGTCTTCTTCTTCTTGCTGTTGCTGTTGTTGTTGTTGTTGTGGGGTCAGCGCGTAGTTGTTGCTACTAGAGCGCGCACTCATTAAAATGTAATTTGAGCGCATTGTTTCGCATTTCATTTGGTCAAGTGAACAGCACATTCTCCGTTTCCATTTCACTTCATTGAGTTTGGCAACAACAACCCCCAAAATAAAATAGCTCGAACTCCGTCCACGGACATTGTCCGGCTCGCTCTAGCTGCCGTCGCTTAATGCGCTCGATTTGATTGATTTATAGGCGCTTGCCATCTCGCTCGGTACGCGCGACCCGGCGCGACCCTCGCGGTCCTTCGTTTCCCTCTCGACATTTGTGGCACATTATTATTTAAATGATAAATTGTATTGCCCGGGAACTTTGGCTTTTACGGAGTTATGGTAGGGGCAGGCGGAGGCTCATTGCATTCCATTTGCTTTTATTGCCCGCCTTTGTAGGTGTTTCCGTGTTGTTGCTTCTTCTTCGTTTCGCTCTTCTCTCTTGTGACCTCTGCCCAACATTTGTGAAGAACCCTTGACGTTTTGCGCTTTCTCGATGCCTTCTCTTGTGGGCGTTCTGCTGTGCATTTCAAATTTTCCGTTGATTTTGGGGTCGTTTCGAGTGGTAATTTTTTTTTCTTTTTGTATTTATTTTGTACTAGGCCTATGCGCAGCAGCAACGCGTCAGCAAACAAAATTAATCGTCTCATTTGTTCAACAGCAATGCGGCGCTTGGCTTTAATTTTACTGGGCCTTAATGTTATTTGGTAATAAAATCGATTAGGCTACCGTATTTGAATGCCACGTTTATATAGTGGTGATTTTTTCTTCTGATTTAGTTACTGGGGCGTAAAGTGAGACATCAATGGCTGAAGAAGTGCGGGCCATAGTTAGCTACTTACTTATTTAGTTGATTTAGTCGAAGCCTAGTTAATGCTTCTAATTATAATATAATTAGCGCATAGAACCTAATTTATTTTCATATATATTTAATGTACTTCATATATGTTTTAATAAGTAGTATATTATTTTGATATGTGCTTCGAGAGGTCTTTAAGGCAATTGCCTAAACAGGCTTCCATATTGTTTTTGCAAATGTTAAATTAATATATTTAATTTAATATAACACTATTAAAGCTCAAATATATATTTTATCAAGATTTACTTATGCAAATTTATATAGTATTTGTTCTTTTGGCAGACTTTGAGGTATTATGTGTAGTAACTCTTTAAAGCATATTTAGGCTTTATAAGAAGATTTTTTGGTTAAGATCAAATTAATAAATACAAACGTCGGCCAATCTTTATAAATAAATTAACTGTCTAAAAGGCTTTCAGATATGCACCCGCGATTAGGAATTGTATTATTTAGCTAATAAAACATTAAACATTTTGTGCTAGCTTTTGTCATAGACGATTTAATCGAATGGACAATTTTTTAAATTAACTTGCAAACGTGTTTGACATATTTGCACGTGTTGCTCGTGTTTAACGACGATTGCAATTCGATTTATGTGCAATTATTTGGGATATACGGAGGGCACAAACACACACAAACACAAGCACACACACACACACGCACACATACACACACACACGGACAGTGGGAAAGTCGACAGTGGCAAAAGCCAATCATAATTTGCATTTAATAAATATTTCATTAACTAATTGCAACAATTACGTTCATTTGAGTTTCTGCCCTCAAATTAGTGCTGCGAAGCCGTTTGCCGGGGATTACAATTTTAATCGGATCAGTCGGTACGGTACGGTTTGTCCAATAGAATTTGATTTTAGTTATTGATCGTTGCACGTTTCTTGTCTAACAGTAAGACTGCGCTTAACTTGGCTAACGCTAATTGCTCCGGCGCGCTGCTTATGAATATGCAACAGCAGCAACAGCAGCGGCAAAAAACAAATAATAATAAAAAAAAAAGCCCCGCCAAAGCGGAAATCCTCCTCGGGCGCACAGGTGACAACTACTGTGCGGTCGGACGGTTGGCGTCGGGGGGAGGGGGGGTGGGCACGTAGTTGGCTGACGTGCGCCGCTGCCAAAGGTTCTGCTTGTCTTGTGTTTCTTTCAAAAAGTGACCCGGCTCGGCCGCCGTCTTGTGAATGAAGCATTTTTTGTTGCGCGGCATTGAGCGCTGCAAAGCGACAGCGACGCGTCGCCATTTTGAATTTCTTGCTCACCAGTGGGCGGCGTCAGTGAGAGAGCGAGAGAGCGCACGCGCTCTTTGCGTATGCATGTAGATATGGCTGTGTGTGTGTGTGTGTGTGTGAGTGTGTTGTGCTATGCGCTGCGCTGGGGGCGTGAATAGCGCTGTGCAAGAGTATGTGTGCGTGAGCGAGTATATATATAAAAATGTGTGTGTGTGTGTGTGTGTGTGCGTGTGCTTGTGTGTATTGTGTTTTTGTACCTGTGCAGTTGAGCGACGTCAAGTTGTGGGCCAGTTTGACTGGTTTGTTGCTTTCATTGTTGTTGTTGCTGCTGCCGCCTGTCAAGTTGCTCAGTTTGGGCAAGTAGATGGCGCTAGTTGTCTTGAAGTGGCTTTAATATTAAAGTCAGGCCCCAAAACATGAGAAATTTCAACTATTCTGCAGCTCTTACAAACAAATATATTTTATGCATACACAAATATAAGCTGACTGACTTTATTTCTTACACTCCTTTGGCTAACAGACCACAATTTGCTAGCGTTAAATATCTAAATAAAATCGTAAATGTATTTGCTTCATTTGTTTACCTAAATGCAACTGTTGGTTGCGTGCCCCAACAAATAACAAAAAATTACTGGTTCAACAATCAATTTAATAATTGAGACCTTTACATTTAATCAACATTATTTAAAATGTCAAAATATTTGCACTTTCAATGGCAGCGCGCGTCGTCGTCGTCGTTGTCGTTATCCAAAAACCGTAAAACCCATAAGAATGCCAGCTCAAAAAACAAATTTGCATACAAATAAATGTTGATAATGCTGTAAATCCCCCAAAGAGGGCCGCTGCTACTGGCCACGCCCCAAGTGGGTGGCTGGAAGGGGAGCGCCAACGACTGCCAACGACACAGTTGATACACAAACGAATACAAAAAAGAAAGCAACAACAACAACAACGACATTATAAAACACAGAAACACAACCGCACAACGCTATGGGCGCCCCCCGTCCGCGCTGTGTCCATTGATAAAATTTATGGTATTGGTGCGGTTTCAACGCCAACCGCTGCCGCGACAGCTCACACCGATGCACACACACACGCAGTGCGGCGGCAGCGACGCGACAGCAAACCGGTTCCCTCAATTGCCATTGGTGTTGGCCAGTGAGCGCTGCCAATCGAACAGTTGCCGTCTCGCTCGCACCAAGCGTGCAGCAAGGCAGCAACCGTTGCGCTCGCACGCGACAGCCACAACGCCGCAAAGCGACAGCTGTCGTTGCCAGCCACAACAACGACGACGACGGCGGGCAGCGCGCAATCGCAGCGCTGAGCTCGTACCTAGTCGTATACGCACTTTGTTCGTGGTTGGTCGTTGTTGCTGTCGCTCGTCGCAGCGCCGTGTTCGCCCGGTTCGTCTCGAGTCTCGATTCACGATTTACGATACACGTTTTTTATTGCCCCGTTTCACTGGTGGAGATTCTCTTTCTGATTCTGTTTTTGATATCGTGCCCGTCGCGTTTGCCGTCGCGCAAATTGCAAAAAAATTGCATAGATTGTTGTTTGCCGGATTGATTGTTCAGTGTCTCCCTTGTCTTGGAGTGTGTGCATTTTATTCCTGAATGCCAATTAAATGCGGGCAACGCGAAAAAAAGGCATTCAAATACAAATTGTTACAAGTGGTGTCATCAAAAGCAACAGCAACATCAGCAACAACAGCAACAACAACAACTACAACAACAACAGCAACATCATAATCAACAACAACAACAACAACAACAACAACAAAAGCAACATCATTATTATTATGATTAAAAGTTGACCCAATTGCGAGTGCAACAGTTCTCGAGTGCAAACCCAAATACAACAAAAGGAAAGAAAATATTTTATTCCAAAAGTGTCTTCGCCACAAATGCTCTAAAAGGATTTACGCGCCCAACTAAATAACAATTAATACTCTATAAACTTATTTAATGTGCAGTTAAAACTCAAGCACACACACACACACGTACACACACGCACACACACATCAATATCACACCTTTACACACACACACACACACACACACACACAGGCAGCTGCATTTGTTGTCTTTTGCATTGATTTCCTGCGCGCGCGTTCCGAAGAAAAGCCGTCAAAATTCTTGATAAAGTGGCCTCAATAGGCGCCAACACGCTCAATTTTACGGACCTAGGGAGCCCCTACGAGGGGCCTCCCAGCACCCCACAATCGGGCATGGATGCGCCGGACGCACCGCATACGCCCAAATATATGGACGGCGGCAGCACCGTGCCCGTCAGCGCCAGCATCACGCCCGGCGTCAATATACCCGGCAAATCAGCGTTTGTCGAGCTGCAGCAGCATGCCGCCGCCGGGTAAGTGAACGTACCACATACATGCCACATGCCGCATGCCACAAACCCCAAGCATCAAAGTGCATTCATTGTTTGCCTATCAGCGCCACAGAATCAACCGACAAATATGTCAAAAGTGCTTGCACGAAGGACAAACACAACGCTCTGATGCAACTGACAAGCTGCATGACTGACTGACTGACGGACTGACGGACTGACTGACAACTGCCTGCCCCGTTCAGTTTTAGCCTGCAACTCGTAAGCGCTTTGTTATCAACTCGGCGTCATCAGCTCTTAATTTAACACACCCAAAAAAAATTGACTTTAGGGCGTTAACCATATCTTTATTGGACTTTAATTTGCTCCCAATTGTATTGGTCCCTGCTCCTATCTAGGGCTGATATGCAAAGTAATAATTTATTTCTCAGTTATAGATACATATTAATAGATGTTATAGAAAACTAATATCATAAGAGCTTGAGCTAAATAAGCAATACAATTTGTTGAAGAGCATGATATGAACATCATCAAAGAGTACTTGAAGATTAGCAAAAGCTTTTAAATAAATATTTGTGAAGTTGTATCTGTTAGCAGATCAAGATATATCTAGCGAAAAAATATCATAAGAAAATTATTTGTATTTCTGTTTGATAATATTAAAGCTGAGTCTTAGATGAAGATTTGAAACCTTCAGATTAGATAAAGATTGCCTTAGACTAGATACAAAAGAGTTCCACTTTATTTATGCCTGTCCAAAAGAGTTAGTTTTAGCCTTGACTGTCAAGTTTGATATTAAAACCAAAACTAAATGAAAAAAGAACAAGTTTGAGACAGTAAATAAAATTAAGTAGGACTCTAAGTATTTCTTGTTTCTTTTTTGATGTTTCAAAAATAAAAGTGGAACTGATTCAATATTCCATGCATAATTTTCTGAACTGAGCTGAGAATTCAATATACAATATATCGTTTTTTGGGTTCATTTAAATAATTGAATGGGACGTAAATCTTTCAAGTACCTATTATAAGAAATCAGATACTTCCTTGTTGGCTTCAGTTTCGAACGACTTTCAATTTGTAGTTCAAATGTGGATTATCATATAAAATAAGTTACCATATATATTGACAGATTCATATTAATATATTCAATATTTGTATGTGTAGCATTCAAGTGCAACTTATTAGATCTAATAAATGAATCGATTCATATTATTATATTAGAAATATATGTTTAGTAATCAAGTCAAACTTGTAAGATCTACTTAAATTACCGATCCATTAATATGGATAGTATTTGAAATATATGTCCAGCAATCATGTCAAATTTATTGAATAATACAAGAACCATATGAATAAATTTCAAATATTCGCCCAACATTCAAGTCAAACTTATTGGATCCACTCAAATGACAGATCCATTAATATGGATAATATGCGAAATATATGCCAGGAAATCAAGTCAAACTTATTGGAACTATAGAAAATATATGCCTGGCAATCAAGTCAAACTTATTGGATAATGTAATGCCATTCAAAATATCAAGTCATACTTATTGAATCTAGTTAAACGAATGATCCATATTAATATATTTAAAATATATGTCTAGTAATAAAGTCAAACATGGACAGCTGTCAATGCATTTACTTTTATCTGAAGTATAAAATCTTCGGTTCAGTTTACCGCTGGCTATTTGGCGAGTTTTATCAGATTGCAAAACAACATATTTTTTAACATGAGGATAAATTTTATCAGCTGATCAAAACAGCTATCAGTTTATATGTACGACATGTACTTGCCCTTACTACATTATTTTACTTTATTTATTTAACTTTTTTGTTTCTTGATTAAAGAAGTCACTTGATGTAGTTGTTGCATGTATGCCAAATGGTACTTAAATGTATCGGGGCAACTTTTCCGGATTTATTTTATGCTGGTGCACACAAGTTGGCCCCATTGGGCATTGGGCTCCCCGATTTGCCTGCGGCAATGGCAACGGAAGCCAAAAATAAATTCAATTAAGTGCAGTTTAGTAAAGTTCGCTTTAACTTGATATATGTATGCATATATATTTGTGAAGAACTGTAGGGGTGCGTTAACATTCGTAGAGCACTGTACATATTAGTTATGCTAGTTGCGAGTGTTTCCCTGCCTCTGTGTAAATTGTTTTTTGCAACGCACGATTCGATTTTTCATTATGTGTACATATTTCATTGCATTTTGTGGTTTGCGTTTTGTCAATTTTTATTGTTGTTTTTTTTTTTTTTTTATAATATTTTTTCGTGGTGCGTGTGGAACTGCCAAGTGGTTACTTGGCTCGTCGGTTGGTTGCCCAGTTGCCATATTGCGGAGTTGAGTTGCGGTTTCGCTTTGCCAGTTGTCAGTTGTTTCCGTTTCCGTGTTGCCTTTGCCCTACCAACCTGCCGCCCTCCGCTATCCACGCACCGCACCACGCCTTATTGAATATTTCATAGCTTATTATTGGGCAATCGGTTAGAAATGTTCCAACTCTTTGGAAAGCCCTGGGAAACTGTTCAACTGTTTCGATTGTTTCGACTGTTTCGACTCACTTTAAGGCACCCGGCTAAAGAAGTGTTAACAAAATATTTACTAGCTGCATGCTCTCTGCCGCCTCTGGGCCCGAAACAATTTTTATTGATTTTCTTTTAGCCATATCAAGTTTAGGGCTTTAACTAAATAAAGTCATGGCAAAAGTTGTTGTTGTTATTGTTGTTGTTTTTGTTGTGAGAAATAAAGTTTCGTTTCGACGCTTTGTGCATTAAACATGATATTTCTAGTGGAACTGAGGTTTTATTTTAGGTACGCTGGCATTTCGTACACGTTGTACAGCACTGAAAATGTGCACACAAAACACGCAAACTTCGCCCGGCTCAGGTTCGATATAGTTTTCCATGCATTTGTTGTACTCTGACCTGAACTGGCGTGCCAAAAGGCCAACAATGAATATGCCATGAGCCACAAATGGGCAAATAGTGAAAACTTTTACCTTTCCGCCTTTCAGCTCTGATTTCATATATATATAGATATATATAGATATATATTTTTTTTCTGATTTGTCTTTGCAGTTACGGCGGCATACGCAGCACCTATCAGCATTTTGGTCCGCAGGGCGGCCAGGATTCGGGCTTCCCGAGTCCGCGCAGCGCCCTTGGCTATCCATTCCCGCCCATGCATCAGAATTCCTACTCCGGCTATCATTTAGGCAGCTATGCGCCGCCCTGCGCCAGTCCACCCAAGGATGGTAAGTACCCAAAAAAAAAAAAGAAACAACTTATTTAATGCTCCCCCCTTTTTGCCACAATTGTTCGGCTGCGCACATCATTTAACGTTGATCAGCAGCTGTGGAGAGATCTTGAGCTCAGGCATTGCCTTTGGCCTCAACTCAAGCTCTTTAAATTCGCACTTTTTGGCGACACTTGAACTCGAGTGGGCAACGCTCGCTCAAGCGCTTTTGTTGTCGTCCAAAATGGGCTTGACTTTGACATTTGCAAACAAGAAATACCCTACGTTCAATAACACCACCATCTTATTTAATAATAATCAGGCAGTTGCTACTTCAAATCAAATATTCCAAGAAGAGAGCAGCACACTTTCAATTGGAAAATTTTTGTAAAACCTGAGCTTAGCTTAAATAATTCTAGATATAAAAAACCAACTGCATCAGCTTTAAGCAGCATATGTTTATTTTTTTTTTTTTACTTTATTATTATATAAAAGACTTTATTGTGCCCAAACGGGTCTCATTAAATTTCATGGTCCATTAGGCTTAATTTTAATTATTTTCCGCACCTGCTTTGTTTTTATGGAGCTCTCATATTGTTTTTATATAGCAACATATTTGCCATGTAGTTGAAAATTTAGGTTTGCAGCAAAACTAAAAGTTAAATTTTTGATAGAAGATTTTTTGAGCAAGGCCGCAAAGTTCCTTTTGAAGCAAGCCGGAGTTTCAATTGAACTGTCACAACTTATACCAATTAAAATTTGTCTCAAAATAAGCAAAATAAAACAAATATTAAAAAAGGAAACTATTGAGCACTAGAACAAGTTACTTAACTTGGGGCCCCAATTCAACAAATTTTTGAGCAGAGAACAAATCTAGCCCGCGATTTCTTCTTTGAAAATATCCAAGGGCTTGCAATATTTTCAGCAGAGCGGGCAATTGTTTTATTAAAATTTAAATTGTTTTATTAAATGTTTTAAAAATATTTGCCAATTAGAAAATAGATATGCAAAGTTAGTTTGAAGGAAACGTGTACAAAGACAATATATATGAATATATGTGTGCACAGTTAACTTCTGATAGAGTTCAATATAGAGTATATATAGTGTATATATATGTATAGATAGAAGATATGTTTTATGTACATTTTTATTGTGATATTCACAGTGACTGGCATAATTGCGCGCTTGACTGTGACATTTTGTTTAACTATTCGCATTTTGTTAAACAATTTAGTTGTGTTCGTTGGTTTTTTGTTTCGTTTTGCGTTTCGGTTGAGCAGTTTTGTTCGTAAGTGAAAAGCAATTCATTTGCCTATATTCATTTATCTATATATATAGTTCTCTGGATTGCCCTGCAGCTTGACATTTTGTCACACATTTATCGCGCATACGCCGCATTGGCCGGGGCGACAATTAACCTTGTCTGTTGTCTACGGCTCAATTGAATTCCGTCAACAGCTGATCGCTAGCCAAAAAGTTTTGCGCGCCAAAAATGTTTAAATACAAATGCTAAATATACGCCTAATAATAAATGGCCCACTGGCACACACACACACACACCAACACACCAACACACACATGCAGCTGTTTGTGTAATTATAATTGCCGTAATTACGCTTTCGTTTGGCGTAATTAATTACACCATTCTTTGCTGTTGCTGCCAACGGCTGCGGCCAGCGACATGTGCAGCAGCGATCCAATAGCTGCGACTCACACACACACACACGCACGCACACACACGCACCAGGGACCTGGTGTCAGTCTGACTAATGGCCCATGTGGCACGTCGTCTGTTGGGTGGTCACCAAAAATATATATATATACATATATATGCATATGTCCATCTCGCTCGCACGCAGCCATTTTGTCATTATAGCGGGCAGCACGTGCTGCGGCGCCAATATTTTCGACTCACACACTCAGGTAAGGGTAACGTTTACCTTATATAGGCGCTTAATAATAGTCGCTCGAATATTTGTGCTTTTTTTGTGTGTGTGGCAACAATTAGCAATTGCAGTTGAACCTGGACAGCGAGTGCTTTGAACTTTTGCTTTTGTTTATGCCGCAATTGTTAATTAAACTTAATTGCGGCAACAGTTTTACAAGTTACTTAGCGTTCGATTTGGCACTGCCCAAAATGCGAGTTGCTCTCCATTTGGTCGCCCGTTGCGACTCGCTGTCTGTCTGTTTGTTATGCATTCCAGCTCGGAGCTCATAAATATGCATTAGCTTTAAGTTATGCACAGTCCGTACACACACACACACACAACAAATCGTAGTCGTTGCCATAATTCTTAGGCCTAATTATAAATTCATCATCGAGCCCTTTTACAGCGCATAAATGTCTTCGTTTTTGCTGATTTTATGTTTCTTTGTGGCGCTCGCAAAATATGCACTCCTCATACGTTTCGTTTCGTTTCGTTTCGTTTTCTTTGCAGACTTTTCAATCTCAGACAAATGCGAGGACTCCGGCCTACGCGTCAATGGCAAGGGCAAGAAAATGCGCAAGCCACGCACCATTTACAGTTCACTGCAGCTCCAGCAACTGAATCGACGTTTCCAACGCACCCAATATCTGGCACTGCCCGAACGTGCCGAGCTGGCGGCGAGTTTGGGCCTCACGCAGACGCAGGTGAGTCCTCTGCACAATATATATATGTATAAATATATACATAGATAAATTAAGTATAATGAAATGTTAGTTAATAAGGGGCGAAGACTTTTCAGCAGCAGTGCTTGCGCGCTTTGATTTATTTTCTTGCTTGCAATTCTCAACCAGTTAAAGCTTTGAAGACGCCTAAAGCTTCGATTCCAGCGACTGTTGCAGCAGCAGACTTTTTGTCAATTTGAGGTTTTATCAATATGATATATTCACAAAATATATAGTTTTTGAGCTTAGCTATTATAGTCTTAAGCTGAGAAGAATATTCTTTTTCTAAAACTCTTTCTAATGCCAATCCCTAAATGATATTCCCAAATGCAATACTCAACCTAAGCGAGTTTCTACTTACATTTAGAATGATTTCGATTTAATTAAAGTATATACATTCTTTTTATGAGAATTTTACTATTAAGCCTGCAGCCGATTTCTTGTTCCTATAATAAAGTGTAACTAAAATTGATTTATGCCCAAAACTCAATGCTTAAATATTTTTAAATATTTTTAAATATTTAAGAAACAAATGCACCTAAAATCTCTTATCATTTCAACTACATTTCTTTTGCTCTTTCTTCAAAAGAGTTATAAGAAGTATTTAAACTTAGAGCTTCGGCTCAGTCGAGCAGCTATCTATGTAATAACCTGAAAGCTATACGCTGCAATATGGCAAAAAGGGAACTTTCATGAGATATGCAAACATTACTGGTCTCGGGGGTCCTCTATGCGCCAACTCAACTCCCTGGCGACAGTGTCCTGCCCCTGGGCAGAAACAAAAAAAAAAAACCGAGTGCAGCAGCTAAATGCATTTCAAATTGAATTGTTGACATGCCGCTAATGTTGACTGACAAACGAGCCAAGGCAGTCGCAAGTAGCAACAACAACAACAACAACAACGCCCACGCCTGTGACCCACACACACACACACCCATACAGTATCTATGCATGCATTTAGATGTAGATACATAGATACATAGATGCACATATACATGGTTACAAGCCGGCAGACGGGGCACTAACGACTGTGTTTAATATCATAATGTATGTGCGCTCTTCCCCTTGTTGTTGTTGTTGTTGTTGCCTTTTCACTCATTTTGCACGTGTGTCAATGTCAACTTTTGTATGACGACTCAGCAAAAACAACAAAAAAAAAAAAACAGCAACAACAGCGACGAGTATCTTTTAAATGCACGCGCTACTGCCCACGACTAAAAGAGAGAAAGATACAAAAAACAAAAAAAATAAAAACAGAAAAAAAATAATTGTTGTGAAAAGGCAAAAACAAGGCCTGCCTCTGCCATTGTGGCTGGCTTGGGCGACACCCACCCAGTTTTCAGTTCAAGTTCCCGTCCACAGTGCGCGATTCCCGTCCCGAGTCTCCACGTCAAACTGTGCCGCATTGTTTTTCCACAAAAACTTTTCCACATCAACAGCAAAAATAGTTGCAAAAATAAATATAAAAAAAAAAAATAAAAAAATAGCAACAAAATTGTAACAAAAAGGAAAACAAGTAGATGTGAATGAGTCTCGTTTTTGAGAAATTTATTGATAGTGGGCGTGGGCTTCCTAATTGAATTAGTGTGCCACAAAAGTTCACGCACACAGACTGGGCACATTGTAACTCAGCTCAAATGAAACTTGTAAAACAAGTTGAAGACCCTGTTGTGTATGTGTGTGTGTGTGTGTGTGTGTGTGTTGCGTGGGTGTTGCTCAGCCGCAAGTTGTTTATCAAGATAGTTATTTGAATACGGCTGCGTTGCAGACACAAGTCTCGGCGTCTTCGGCGTCTGAGGCGGGGCGTGCCACACGGCGGCTGTGTAATAAATTCTTGTGCCAGGCCAAAAGCAGTTTACTTAGTCACCCCATAAACGCTGATTTACAATAGGGCTCAAATGCACACATACATATATACATATATATATAGAGAGAGATATAGGGGCCTAGACGCGGGCGCCATAAAATGTGGCGGGCCCAGCCGAGCCAGGTTTTTGGCCGAGCAGCTGTCAATCGATGTCCGCATTGTCAGCGCATGCAGCTTTTTCGAGCTTGGCCAAAAAACAGCTAACTAAACAAACAGCCACGCCCACTGCTGTATATTGCAGTCAGTCAGTTAGTCAGTCAGCCGCAGGCTGCGACACAATCAATTTGCCTTTATCTGGCTGACCCTGCGGCATTTGCTGCACTATGCAAGAGGGGTTAAACACAAATTTAATTTATGACTGCAACAGAGGGTGTGCAGCAAAAAAAAAAAAAAAATGCAGAAGAAACTAACTGTTTCTTTGAGCAAAGTCCTGGCCGGGCCAGGTCCTGGCACTGTGTGTGGCCGGCCGGGATAACTTTCGCTTTCGGCGGCGCGTGTTAATTAAAACCGCCCTCGCAGTTAAGTTCAGTTCGGCAGCCGCAGCGGAAGTTTTTTATTGATTTGCCAGCCATATAGCTATATAGCTTAGCCATAGCTAAGTTTTGTAATTGTTATTGTTGTTGTCCAAAGCCACGCCAATGTTTGACCCGTGCAAACAAACCATTGTGCTTTGCCTCAAGATTTATGCGTTACACAAACAACAACTGCATTGGCCACTCGAGCCCCAGCGCCAGCCCCATGTCTTAATGGCCTTCAGCGGGCAACGCCGGACAAGTTGGCCAAGTTAAAGCTTTTAGAGGTTTCTTTCTTAGCTATATACTAGCGTAGATTAATATGGTTTTGTCATGAACCAGGTAACGTTCAGCAAGGAATCGTTATTTTGAGCTGCACTCGAGTACAAGGGCCAACTTTTGTCAGCCTATCTCTGTGAACTGGGTTAACAGCTTGATATTGTACTGAAACTAGGCATAGCTAGAGCTTTTAGCTGGGTTTATGTATATATCAAGCAGCTAGCTCGATCGCAGCACTATAACTTTCAGCTGTCATGGTCATTATTTGGGAAATATGAAGTTTTTATATGAAACAAGTTTTAAGTATTTGTGGACAGATTCTAGATTTGCAGCGCTGATGTTTGCATACTATAAATTTAATAATTTAATTTAATTTTAAATAATTTTTCATTTAATTTTGCTCAAGATCTGACTGCCATATAACAATATTCAATACCCTAGAGCAGAGCATTAAAACTTCGTTAGCTTGCAGCTGGTTTTTCACTCCTGCCTTATTTTTGTTGTTGTTGTCGTTGTTTTGTGTTTTTTGTTTTTTGGGGCGTGTTGTACAATTTGTTGTTCTTAAAGTTTTGCATGTCGAATACACGTATTCGCATTTCACAAAATGCAGGCAGGCAACGTTCAGCTGAGAGCTGGCAGCTCGCAGCTCTCGAGTCACGGCTGACACTGACAGCTCGTCGTCCGGCCTAGCCTCAATCTGGCGACACGTTCTAACACCTGCTAATGAAAAATGCAACAGCAATGGGCAATAGCTATAGATATTGCCGTATATAAAACTGTACGATACAAAACTGTGGCAAATTAAGCTTTTGTTTTTGTATTTGCCGCTGTTTTTTATAGCTGCTGGTTTTTTATTTTTATTTTCATTTTTTTTTTTTTTTCATGCTGGCTGCAAAATATAATTATGGTAATTTCATTATTATTATTTTTTGCGTCTTCTGCTGCTGCAAAGACTATATATAAAACTTGTTTCTGCTGTCGGCCGTCAGCTGCCTTCCCAGCCCCTTAGCCCCCTACTCCCCTTCGCACTCTAGTCGGATCTTTCACTTGGCTTTAAGTACGCGCACTTGTAGTTTGATTTTGAAAGTGCATCCGGTGGCGGCTGGATGCCAGATCGATATGCCACTATATGCCTATATACAAACGCATATCTATACATATATTTATATATATACATGTGTGTGTTCCTGTGTTTGCAAATCGCTTTCGCTTTGATTCAGTTTCAATTAGAGCTAAATGCTGGCTACTGTTTTCATGTTTTCTTGGCTTACACCGCCAGCCGGCTAATTGAATAATTACATAGAACGTTGGCAGCTGATCGCCAATGCTTCAATATCAAAAAAAGCACCCAAAAACACACACACACACACACACATAAAACTCTCAAGCTCGAAAAACTCAAACTCGAAGCTGACAGCGCGAGACAAACGCAAACACTCCAAAAATAATAATGTATACAACAAAAAATCTGTGAAAAAAGCCGAAATTAAACAGCGCTGCTGTCCGTGCGAACCGCTCAACAAGCTGATCTGGAAACGCAAAGGAGAACCTTTTAAACTGCGTGTTTATGAGCTCATATCGGCACATTTTGATCTGGTTGTGCCTGCTCCCACAATAACAACACGTTGGCAAAAAGAGGCCCCGGCTGGAAAGGGCGCAACGGCTGGCAAAGATTTTGTAGGAGGCCACGCTGACTCGAAAACAAAGGATTTTGAGGATTTTGGCAGCAACATCAAGTTTATGTTTAGCAGATGAACTGCCAAAACGGCGCTTGTGAGCACTAAAAAAGATTCCAGACTCCGCGCAAAATGTTCGCACGATAAATAAAAATAATAAATATATTGATAGAGTTAGTAAAGAAAGGCAGTATAAGGCGAGCTTTCGCTGAAACTTATTTAATAAAAATTTTTGTAAAATAATTGTGATTCAAAAAGTGAGCATAATTAAGTTTACAGGGTCAGCAAAAGAAATAATAACAAATAATAGAAATACAAATAATAAAAAAACAGCATTGGAAATAATAGAATAAAAAAAGATATAATAAAACTAATAATACAAATAAATATAACAATAATAAAAATAAATATTTTAAATACATCAGCCACAATAATAAAAAAACAAATATTTATTATAAAATTAATAATGATAGCAATAATAAAGATTAAATAAAGTCTTAATAATGCAAATAAAATTTGTGAAATAATAAAAAATTAAAGAACATTTCAATCATTTTATAAAAGGACAAATTTTTGGTATATGTGTGTGCATGTAGTTATCTATGTATGTGTAGCTTTTTCTTGGCCTTAAAATTAGCTTTAATTGAA